TTTTCTTTCATAAATCTACCTCAAAAAGCATGTATACAATGAAATATCTTTGAGATAATGAATACTCTCTTTACAATAAGTCTTGCTACAACATCAAAATGTATATAACTCAGCTCTGGAAAACTTTTTTTTTCGAATTGAACCGTATGTTACAGAATCGGTATGATGTGATCTTTTTACATTTGTTTTCAGATATTGTCTAAGATTTTCTATAGAAATTACAGATATTTTTAAGTGCTAAGATACAATTTTTTGAGGGATTACCGAGATTTATTTTTTCTGCGGGATTTATTCATTTATTGAGGAATTATAATGATATTTCGGCATACCTATAGTCGTACACCCTGTTCCACAGCTGTAAACCGACGCCCTAACTTTTCAATGGAAAACTGTACAAGATTAAGTAACATGTTTTCTCAAGGAACTGTTCGTGGTATAATTTAGTGTAAGAGCTACTTGTTTTTTTCTTGAATCTAATGCAGTTTTAAGTTTACTCGGAAAATTGTCCATTTCTTTGTGTAAAAATTCATTGTTTAATACTATCTAAAAGTTCTCTGTTACTGTGAGACAAGAAACACCAAACTGTTTTTAAAAAAAGACGCAAAAATAATCTATGTATAGTTTGTGCGAATGTTGATATAACTTTTCATTAATATTAGGGTTATTCCTTGTTCACAATAAGAGACTGTGGACAGCCACATATTTTTTTAATAGCGGGGACTCCATAGTAAATCGAAGTTCTATGGAAGGGATCCATGCTTTGAAATAAAACTAGGCTGCTATGATGAGTAGCAGACTCGTTGCCTGTATTGTTATCGATCATAGTAGGGAACAATAGGATTCCATTCTTGAATAGAAGACAAGCGTGACCTTGATCTTTTTTCATTTTTAAGTTGGTGTTGACCAAGATCATTTCTTGCCTTGAACCGTTGAACCTTGTTCAAATATTACCATTCGCATTGTTAAAATCTTTTGCAATTCAATTGATGATTTCTGACTCTTGTAAAGATCATCGTGCGTGACCTGATATCATACAGGTCCCAAGATCAGGCTAGACACTAGTCAGCGGCACATTATTACTGATAATGGAAGACTTCGATAAAGTTTATTGTCAAGACATCAATTATTTATTGTGTAGGTGAATTGGTAAAGAGAAGACACATCACTACATACACCACCTGCTCAAAAAATGGTTTATCAATACAGCAATGAAAATCAAATGACTTCCGAACTAGTGTTCTCATATCTTTCTTCTTTTGCTTTGACTTTTATTCATCGTAACTATTGAACATTTTCTATGGAGTACAGTGATTACAACATTTCTGAAATGTATTTACTCATTCAATAAAAAAACAAATCAATTTTTCGTCTTGCAAGTGAGCGCTTTTCATTAGCATGTTTGAATAGTGTTTATTGAAGATAGACACTTTCCTTCTTTGAACCAGGGTACCCATACTAGTCAATGATCGATAGGTAGTGATGCCAATAACAGAACAGTAACATCAATAAGACTCTAGCTAGAATTTAGTCAGGCATACTTTCGATTTTTTTCTGATAGTATGCATTTAAAATTTTTGTTTAATGACCCTAGAGAAAATACTGAGTTCAGAGTACCCATGTACTGAGAAAACCTTAGCAGGATACCCAATATGAGTACTTCGAAAATTCTCAGTAATTATACTGATGTAGGTACTGTGAGTACCTTGCCCTCATCTTCATGGAATGCAGCACACTCACGACGACAAACTGATAATGATTGTGCATTGATCATCAGGTTATCAGATAGTATATTTAATGTTTTAGCAACTACTTCACCATGTACCTTTTCAAGATTATAACGAAGAGCATCAGCAAATTCCATATTTCGGGAGAACAATTGATCAGTGGACAAAAGCATTATTTCTTTTTTATGAAAGAAACACCAGCAAAAATATTTCTATTGTTGTTGATTCAAAGAAGTTGTTTCTGATGCATATACAATAGGTCGACTTTTACGCGAACATTCAAACCCGTTCACCAATTGTAAGAGAGCTAGAAGCCAACATGTCTCCTTCGAACTTTCATAGCATTACCAGATTTGTGACTCAAGTCAAGCGAAAAAACAGTTCTTACTTTTCAAAATCATTATTTTAAAACCTACTGTATTGAATCAAGTCTGCTTCTAAATTACTATTACCGATAGATGTCAACCAATCACGCTACTAGTCATATAAACTTTCATCCTAGCTACATGTCTGACAGTTCGTCAGCACAACAGCTACAGCAGTTTATATTTTTTCGACTTCATCGATTATGAGAATTTTTCTTTTCTATATTCCGCTGTACATATTTCCATACAACGTAACATATTATGCTGATCGCAACTATCTAGCCGGTATGAGAATTGACTTTTCTAAACTACAGCTATCTCTTAGTCCAACCAAAATATCTTATATGCTTCGAATACGTAAATTCAAAGAAATGAGCTTCTTTCAACAAACTTAAAAGAAACAAGCAACTTTTTCGTCTATGAAGCCGCATCAAACAAAATGCGTCTTAAATAACAACCATCATAGAGTGAAGTTATCACAACCACACCAACATCCGTAACTCCCACTACCGCCCAGCGCTCCTTACGAAACTTAATTCGTTAATCTGTTCAATCTCACAACATTGACGAAGCCCTTCATCTGCACAAATGTCAGAACTTTAAAATTTGAGAGTTCTTACGATTCATTGACTTCCGTGCGTGACTTAGATTCCGTCGTTTCTTTGACTTCCTTGGATTATTTCAATTCCTAGGCTTCCTTCAGACCTTCGGATTTCCTGGGTTTCTTAGATTCCTTGAACTTCATGAGTTCCTTGGGTTCCTTGAGATCCTTCACTTCCTTCAGTTCCTCGGAGTCTTCACAATTGTTGTTGATACCTGCTTTTCTTTATTTGTTATCTGAATTCCGAAATCCTTAGAAGTTCAGATTTCACGGAATTCAGCTACTGCTGCAATTTCTGGCAGTCAAATCATCATAACGAGCTTTGTCGTACGTATGGGACAGACAGAACAATGAAAATGAATAGTTCGCGATGAGTTAATTGTTTTTATTTGAGAGAATAATGCACCAAAGACCGAAAACGAATCGAATCGGATCGAATTTGAAATTTTAGAACCTAGTTCGAATCGAAATTTTTCTATTTGTTTCTGTCTCTGCGATCTACTCTTTTTGACATGTTATAAAGTTGCAACAAAAAAAAACTATAGCGGTTGTTGCTAGATGACGACACAATGTTCTGAGGGAAAGAAAATGGAAGCAAAAAAAAAGTGTTGTTCTGTGACTAAAAACATCGAATGACTCATTCTTTTCTTTGACAATATTTACGACAAGAAACAAATAAGTAATAAAAGCTTGATTTTTTAGATAAATATGTCATCATGTCTTCTTGACCGTTTGCCTGTCGAATGTCTTTATATGATATTTGAATATTTTTGGGCTCAAGAAATTTTTCATTCATTTCTGAATGTCACTCAATATATTAGTCAAGTATTATACAATTATAACGGCTATTTGTTTAATTTTAAATCAATTTGCAAGAAAGATTTCGATCTCATTTGTCGTTCTATTAAACCTTGTCAAATTCAATCACTTATACTCTCAGATAGTGAAGATACAGTAGGACAATCTCAACTCTTTCTTTCATTCTTTTCTATTAATCAATTGATTCATCTTCGTGCATTAACATTGATCAGTATTGATCGTAATTCCATATCTGCTTTTTCCGACATACACAAACTTCCATGTCTTGACTCGATTGAAATCGATAGCAATTCTCAAATTTCAATCAATTCGATTGCATCTCAACTAAAACGAATCATTGTAAATTCTTGTTCTGATGACTATTCCAATCATGGAATGTTAATTCCACCTATTCAATTACCTCGTCTACGCTATTTGTCTTTAGAAAGATGTTCATTTTCTCGATTGTATTCAATACTTCGTCTTGCATCAAATCTAGTTTCACTTCATGTTTCAATCATATATTGGAGTTCAACAGAAATGAATCATTTGATCAATAACGATCAAGAGTCACCATTCAAACTTGTTTATCTCTATATGACGATGAATATACGAGGTGAGTATAGAAAGTAAGAAATCTAATCTAATCCCATGTCTTTCTATTTTTTGATGTTTCAATTTCACAAAATTCAATTCAACAATTTCTCTTACGAATGCCTTCTCTTCGACACTTAGAATTGATTGTTAATAATAATGGTTACCATTCTTTATGTAACGGATATCACTGGGAAATATTTATTAGGAATCAATTGACAATGCTTACTAAATTTGATTTCCATTTCAAATTAGCATGGTATCAAACACATGATTGGGTTAACGACGACTTTATACTTGCTCCTTTCCGAACTTCATTTTGGATCGGTCAAGAACGGCAATGGTTCGTCGTCTATAATCGTCAATCACGGAGTCTTTTCACTGTACCTCGATTTGCTTCAACAATCTGTTCACATCCGTCAGAATCAATTTTATCTCATACAACAACTGTACCTAGAGAACAGTATGGTATATTTTATGATCATATCACTGAACTTATTCTTGATAATAGTAAAACTTCGACATATTGCTATAAAAACATTCGGAAGCTGTCACTTTCTACTCCAGACTTTGATCATCAACAGTTTGATCTTTCAAAAGTTGAAGTGTTGACTGTGCAAATAAGCGGATGGACTTTAGAGATGCTAATAGAAGTCATTCATCAATTGATGCCGATGCTCTCTCATCTTATAATTACCAGTTCTTTTTCTTGGAAAATTTCTCATCAGACTCATATCATGCCTCTCGTCAATATTCGTATATTAAATCTATCTCACTATTCAAGCTTTTCAGATGATGAGGAGCTTCCATGGACTCAGTTCTTTCCATGTGTTCAACGATTGATAATTTCTATCAATACTCGTCGGCAAATGACGATTTTAATCGATCGGTTCGAACATTTATCAAGTGCTTCATTCTTTGTTAAAAATTGTCAGATTAGTACAGCGGAAAAACTACGTGAACCTCTAGTAACACGAGAATGGTTCATCGAAAATATACATCGTCTATCGATAAATCATAATTTCATCTGTCAAATCGACTATCAATATCGTTCATGGATTCATTTGTGGATTGGCGATTGTGAAAGTCGATCGAAGGTGAAAAGAAACAGTTGGCTACGTCAATGTTTTTCACGCTGTTTATCAGATACTACTGCAGAATAGCAACATGGTTCATCTTCATCATCATATTAATTGTTGTATTCAATGTAACAATCATTCTGCAAACTCTTTAAAGACAAAGAGTATTGTTGATCAACAAGAGTACACCAATCAGATTATTATGAATAGAAAACAGAAGGGTGTGGGTGTGAGTACATTTGTTCTACCCACAACCCATTTTTGAGCAGTACTTTCAGTTGTTAAATCTGAATCAAATTTTGAACCAGATAAAGATTTTTTTTCTAGTTGATTTTGAATCTTTAGATGGTTTTTTGTTTTTTTATGTTGAATATTGATAATAATTATCAGAAGAGTTATTAGTAAAACAATGCCAATAGTTCCAATAATAATAATAAATAAAAATTATTTATTTTTTAAACCTGATTCTTCATTGGTCAAATTCAATTTTAGTGGCATAGTTCTACTAAAAACTAAACGAAAAAAATAAAACAAACCAAAGTTCAACTCAATGAAAATAACAGGTAGAGTATAATAAATGACCAATATTTTCGACAAAATCACTGCAAATATCCTGAATATGAGAAAATCGATGGATTTTTGTTTTTACAAATTTTCGGAAGTGATTGTCTCAAAAAAAATATGATATGAAAACCAGTTATTTTGAAAACAAATTTAATTTAGAAGAGTCTCTTGTTTGTTTAAAGTATAAGTTTCATTAGAGACAAATAAACGATTTTATCGAGGAAAAAAATATAAGTATGTAGATGTGTAGGGCAAGTGTAGACGAATGTTTACATTCACACCTAAAGGAGAAATAAAAGATATGATAGCTAGATTGATTATTAAGTCTTTCTGGTTCACCTTCAATAATTTATTTTATTACTATTTTAATGATAGATAAGATGTTGGCAATTCGAAATTTGAAAAAAATTTTTTTTTGTCAAAGTTGAATAGTACTCTTAGTGAAATTTGCCTCGATAACTTCAATATCTATCTGATTGATTTTGATTTTACTTGTATAATATAGTTACGAAAAACTTGGTGGATGTATTTCGAAAAATATTGTTTGTTTATTGAGAAAATCAATTTTTGCAATATGATAGCACAAGAAAAATATAAGATGGATTCATCTTCAAAAGTTTTACGATCAGAACTTCAGTTTGAAAAGCAATAGATATTATATTTCGAGTCATTTTCGAATAATTTAGCTTGTAGTTCACAATGGATAATTTCTATAGAGCACGTAAACATGAGTTATTTTCTATCGAAAATGCAAATATTTACGACTATATATTTAATTTTTCTTTAGCTAAAACAACCAATATTACTAGTTAGTTGCCAATTGATATTTGATCGAGTAGATAACTTTTTATGTCTTATATTATTAACTACTGCAAAGATAAACATTATCCATAGTTGAATAAAAATGCTATATTCGAAATGTATTTATTATTAATATAAAGACACAAAAAACAACTTCACATATACAATTCATTAATAATTACAAAAAATTAAGAGTACAAACGTCACATAGCTGAGAAGGCAAAGAAAAATATGGACAGTTGATGAGAAAATCATCAAGAAGGATTTAGGTTTTATCGAATTAGAGTAAATCTCGTCAAAATATAGGATCATTATCAATTTCTTCTAATACTGAATCGTTAAAAGCATCATGATTATTACGTGGAGAACGATCAATGTCTTTGATACTGACTACATCATAGAACACGCAGAGCAACAGAAGTGCATCGGTACAACAAAAAAACACATTTATATAACGATGAAAACAATTATTCCGATAGATGCCATTTGCAATAATGACGAAGAGAAATATAGAAGTGATCCATAGAACGTAGACAATTAAACGAACATACTTTCCACTTAAGGTGAAAAGGTCTCGAATAAGACGGATCTGTATCACGAATGATACTAGTATAAAAATACGACTGCCCATAAAAAAATCTCAGTGAGACAATATTTGAAATGTTCGTTTTTCTTTGATTGTACAGAACAAAGACAATCGTCATAAGGAATACCACAAAAGAATCTCATCTTAATTGATGTCACATTTATCATCGATGAACGGAGAATTGATTCATGAGCGTTGTCAAGAAGGTTTCGAGTTGTAAGAGTGACACAGGTAAAGCCGAGAAGAATGCTAGCAAAAAATTCAGCACGAATTACATTATGCGATGTTGTGCCAAACTTTATTTTCATCTTAATATATATTCGATTTTAATGATAATTTAGTTGAAAGAATATTGAACTAATTTAATGAAAACAAGTCTGAAATAAAACTAAGATAAATATTTAGAGATGATTAATAGAGAAGATAAAAAAACCAAAAGACCAATTATCTCTACAGGTTTTGTTTTCTTATTTAATGTTGAAGAATAAACCCGCGCAATAGAAATTGGATGATGTCAAAACTCAATCAAGAAAAGGAAGTTTTTCTTAACCCTATAGGGACGGTGGCCGTATATATACAGCTTTACTACTGAAATAGAAAGCCCAAGGCTCTAAGAAGTTTTGAAGCGGTTTCATTGTATACTCTGTTTCTTTTTCTATCGGCAAGTTCACTGATTGTAAGCCTTTACAACTAATTGTACTAGGTGATACTAGTGAGAAATGTAGCATATGATCAGCCTCTGGACGTAGTAATTTGTTCCGAAGCATATAAATATACTTTAATTGCTCTTATGTGACTATATGATACTGACCCACATGGCAAAGAGCATAGTGAAATACAGTGTTTTGAACGGAAATCTAAAACAGAGAGCGCAAATAAGTACTTCGTTCCTATTGACAAAGTACCGCAAAGTACCAACGCTAGAAGATGATTCAAGAAAAACAAAGACAGGATTCTTATTAGTTTTACCTTTTAATTAAAGATATATTCCTATTCAAAAAAAGCAAAATAAAAATAAGTAAAAAATATAGACACATTTATCTGAACAAGTTTGAGAAAAACTTTTCTGAACTAAATTTTACTACAATATGTATACAACGAATAAAAAAAAACAGAAAAAAAATCGTTGTTATTATTCTTCTTCGTGTATATCGGCATAGTGATCGCAAAATTATGAAGTTGATTCAATTGAAATTTCTAATTTAATGTGACAACTGCTGTTGCATAAGCATCGGAAACAATTATATTCTACTCAATAGTAAAATTCATTCCGATGACAACATTGTACTATAGTATGTATTTATTCTGATCACCTGCAGCAATATTTTCCACAACGGTTTGTACATTTAATAGCTTCAGTTTCTTTTGGTTTTCGGATTGTATGAGACTTTTATGTGTTTTTGCAAGCTGTCGCTGAACACTGAACAAGGAATAATTATTCCATAAGAACAAGTAAAGAAAATAGCATTGTTTCGAACGAATAATTAAACTTGATGAATGTATATCAAATAATAAATAATTATTCAACAGCAACAAGTCAAGAAGATCAATATAAGAGCTATCGAAATCTAAAAAGAGAAATGAAAATTTCGATGATGAGTTCAATTCAACTAAAAGAAAAAAAAAGGTTCTTGGCTCTATCTACAGGTGAAACACATAAACAAGAGAAAGACGAGTAACTTTAAAGTGATGGCGTAAAAATTAAACAAAGTACATTTTTATCTTACAAAGTATTCTCAAGTTACTTTGTTTTTTTTTCGTAAAGTACAAAACACAGTACTTTTCAAAAACCGTAAGTATCTTGAGTACTTTACTTTTGCTTGAGGTACTTAACGTTAAAAACACTGCTGAGTAAGCATGAGAGCTATATGAAAAGTAAACAAGTATCCTTGCTCACGCTGAATTAAAGAAAGAAGTAATACTCTAAAAAAAAATATGTCATGGGTGTGGATGTGGACGTATATGATGTTGGTGTTTGAATAAAGAACACCCACACCCACACGCTTCTTCACCACTTCTATTCTTTTTATCACACCATCATATTCACGCACATGTATGACAAGACAAGAAGAGATCCGCACAGTTTTCTTGAGACTATAAAAAGAATCGCAGTTTTTACTGTCTTTGACTCTAATGGTTCAAGCTCGAGGTCATTCAACATCATACTATTGAATCTTTATTCAGACTAGTGGTTGAATATATGCGCACTTTTTTGTCCTGAACAATAAGATTGCCCATCATATATGAACATAACAACCATCTATTTTTTGAGTCTCTATCTCAGCCGTATGAAACAAACGCACTGAATTTACAAAACATGCAGCTGTTTACATAACACGTTGAAATGAATTTCTGCTGCTGTTACACGTCATCAGATCAAATGAAATTGCATTTTTTTTTCATTCTATTGTGCCGAGGCATAATGAAGTTTTTTTGAGAGTAGTGAGAAATTAATTGATTAGAGAAGAATTGTGTTCGTAGGCGCATTATATGTCTCTCGCCGTCAAGATTGGTGAAACGAAATGGTTTCAAAAACAAAAAAAAAGAAGAAAAATGCGTGATTGATCCAAGTCACCATTGAACGTATGTAACCAAGCAAAAGAACATGTCTTCTGAGTAGGAAAAACAACGAAAGTTTCATGAATTTATTGTCGTTTATATTGGCGAAAGTGATGAGACTGAAAATTCGATTAGTAGCCAATTGTATCGTGTTATTGATTCAATTCACTCATTCAATGATGTAGACAGAGGTATCGATTATATTCGCAATGTCAGAAACGAAAAAGTATTTCTCGTCATGTCGGATTTATTGATTCAAATAGCGATCGTTAAACTTCATGATTTACAACAACTCCTTTCAATCTATATCATTTCTGTGAACGCGCCATCACAGTCAACAGAGCTTGCTTCGATAGCGAAGGTAAAAGGCGTCTTCTTGGACATTCTCGCTCTATGTGCACAGCCTCATCAAGATATTCGACTAACGAGAGAACCTCACCAACTGATACACTTCCTTTGAGCTCATATTTTGCTCATAGGTAGGACTCATAGCGTAGATAAAAACCCTAAAAGGATTCGTCCCCATGCTGCTTTATTGCAGAGAAACAAGCACAACAAGTTTCTCTGAAAATGACATTATTGTATTTTTTATTAAAAAGGGTGTGGGTGTGGATGGGTGTGGGTGTGGGTGTGGATGGGTGTGAGTGTGGGTGTGGGTGTGGGTGTAGTGGGTGTGGGTGTGCGGGTCGGTGTGTGTGTGGATGTGGGTGGGTGTGCGGTGTGGGTGTGGCTGTGGGTGGGTGTGAGTGTGGGTGCGTGCCTCTTGATGTGGATTATCTCTTCACCTACGCCCAAAACCATACCCACACCTACACCCACACCCACCCCAGACCCACATCAACAGGCACGTGCAAGCACATCCCACACCCACACCCACACCCCACCCACACCCCACCCCCACACCCCTACCCCCCCCCCCACCCCCCCCCCCCCACCACACC